CTATTCCTCTCATTCCAAAGGAACCACAAGAGTGTGCTTACTTCCCCTGCCGTATCCGAACTGGTAGAGTTAGTCACCCTTTTTAGCCAGACTGACATACTTTCCCCCCGACAAACCCACACTGATCCGGCCAATTCGATCGCCGCCACACCCGTCTAGACCAACCACATTCCATAAACCTATGTTCCTGTGTCTCAACCAAGCCACAGTAGGGACAGTCTGGTTCGAACCTATCCTCCATTTTCTTTGCCAGATTCATATTAGTTGGGAGAATATTATGCATAACCTTCCATAAGAAATACTTTACCTTGGGTGGTGAGTTCACTTTCCAAATGGCCTCCCAATCCGAGCTGGATAGCCTTTGCGGGTCTTGAGTATCCTCCTCCTCTTCCTCGAGCTCAATTGCTGGCTCTTGGATAGCAAGATTATACCCCGATCTCACACTGTAGATTCCATCGGGAGTAAGGTTCCAGCAGAGGGAATCTTTAACCGGTCGGCTTCGCAGGGGAATTGCTTGGATAGCCCTCGCCTCTTCGGGAGAGAACAGCAAATTCAGCACATCGACCCTCCACCTGTTGATATCATGGTCAATAAGATCTGCAACATACTCATATCCCATCTTCCCATTAGGCCCGACCGTCAAAATCCTCCTTTGTAAGCTCGGCACCCACCAATCCTCCCAAATTTTGATGTTTGAGCCATCGCCTACTCGCCATCTGCTTCCTTTCAAAATCAAATCACGGGCTGAGATTAAACTTCTCCAAGTGTAGCTCGGCCGGAAACCCACCTGCGCTTCCAAGACAGAACAGTGGGGAAAATACTTTGCTTTCAGAATCTGACCTACAAGGGAATCTGGCTTCTGCAAGAGTAACCATAGTTGTTTAGCAAGCAGGGCCTTATTAAAAGTTGCTAACTCCTTCAGGCCAATCCCCCCTTCTTCTTTGCTTCTACATAGATGACTCCATTTTCTCCAATGTATCCTATTTCCGTTTTCATTTTCGCCCCACCAATAATTAGAGATAATGCTGTTAATCTCACTCACCAGGCAACCCGGAAGTTTGAACACTGACATTGCAAAATTTCCTTGGGCCAAAGCTACTGCTTTTATCAGGACATCTCTCCCTGCCGTCGAAATCAGTTTGCCCTTCCAGCTGTGTATGCGACTTCGGATCCTTTCTTTGATGTAGGTAAAGGCAACCTTCTTCGACCTTCCCACCACCGTTGGAAGCCCCAGGTATTTCTCATGTTTTGACACTTCTTTTATACCCAAATTTGTCGCAATTTCCATCCTCCGCTGTTGCCCCACATTGTTGCTAAAGGTAAGCTCAGATTTGCTCAGGTTTACCATTTGTCCAGACTCCTTCTCGTAGGTCTTAAGAATACGTTTCAGTTGTTCGCTCTCTTGTGGACTAGCCCTTGCAAACATGATACTGTCATCAGCAAACAATAAATGAGAAACAGTTGGGGCCTTGTTGCACACCTTGATCCCATGTAATCTGCCCTCTTCTTCTGCTTTATTGATCAATGTCGTTAATCCTTCAGCGCATATGAGGAAGAGGTATGGGGAAATAGGATCCCCTTGCCGAAGTCCCCGAGTAGGAATAAACGATCCTCTTGCTTGGGGAATAAGTCGGATTAATTAAGGAAGATAATTACTTCCTTAATTAAAACCGTCGGTTAAGATAAACCCGGAGGGATTATCCTTCGAATATTCCTTTTTAGTCGATTATCCTCAGAATAACGGATTAATAATTAATTATTAGATAATTAATTTCGTTCGGAATTTCTCCAAAAATATATATGTAGTCTCAAGTGAACCAACCGACCGACCGGTCGGTCGGCGCGCGCGTGTGTGTGGTGGTCCGTTAGGTCCTCCCTCTCCCACAAAAGTGGGTCACCCCAAGGGGCATGCCCTTAGGAGAGAGGCTCTTATCTTTATACCCATTTCACCAAGTAAAACTACCAATGTGGTAGTTTTTCCACTTGAGACTCTATAGCTTTCAAAGCTATTCATATACATTTCCAACAATCTCCCACTTGAATAGTTTTGAAACTATCTCTGAGCATCAACAGTTCCATAAGATCGGGCATAAGCTAAGGTATCACAAAGATTTGAACCTTAGCGTAGTGGTTACACTTCCGATTTCATAAGGGTTACTCGTAGTCTTTAACCCTATCTCAGAAAGTGTAGCACACCGGATCTTTTCATTGAGTTGTGTTCTCTTCATAGCCCGTGCGTTTATGGCCATGCACGTTATCCTGGTTTAGGGAACGCTCTAGCAACTTTGTGCCTCCAAAGTTCCATAGGGAGCGGCCCCACTCCCACATTCACATAGGTGAGTCTATCAGGAGTACCCCCAAAGTAAAGTACTCCACCCCACATAGGGTATAGATCTCATTAAGAGTTATTAACTCAACCTCCATTGCTTTGGGATTCATGCTTCACTATGCATGAACTTTTCGCATACTACTCATGACTTGTTATTACCCATTGATCCCATTTCTTGGGATCTCCAGTCTATTGGGTCGGGTTACCATCACTTGTAGTCCGTGGTTCGGTAGGCATAAGTCCCATACCCTTGGCGGTATTTTGGACTTTCTCTCTAGGTAATCCTTTCGTCAAAGGATCAGCTAGATTCTGTTCGGATCTTATATGATCCACCCTCACTGCTCCTATCGTTAGGAGTTCTCTTACAGTACTGTGCTTACGACGAATCTGTCGTTTCTTTCCGTTATAGAACCGGTTCTCAACTTTAGCGATAGCTGCGGTACTATCACAATGAATCAATACCGGAGGGACCGGCCTTTCCCATAGGGGAATCTCTGACAACAATCCTCTCAACGAACTTGCTTCTTCACTAGCCGTTTCTAGTGTTATCATCTCTGATTCCATAGTTGATTGAGCTAGGATTGTTTGTTTCTTTGACTTCCAAGACACAGCTCCACCAGCGATGTTAAAAACATACCCGCTGGTAGCCTTGGAGTCATCTGATAGGGTATTCCAATCCGCATCACTATACCCTTCTAGTATAGCAGGAAACCTTTGATAGTGTATACCAAGGTTTGCTGTTCTCTTGAGGTATCTCATGACCCTCTCTATAGCATTCCAATGCTCTCTACTAGGACAGCTGTTAAACCTGCCAAGCAATCCCACGACATATGCAATGTCTGGTCGAGTGTAATCCGCTGCATAACGGAGACTGCCATTGATGCTAGCATATCCTGCTTGTCTTACACTGTCTCCAGTGTTCTTAAATAGCTTTACACTAGCATCATACGGAGTACACGCAGGTTTACAGTCGAAATAGTTATATTTCTTCAAGATCTTCTCTATGTAGCTAGATTGATCTAGAGAATAACCATTTGTTGTTCTAGTTATCTGGATTCCAAGCATAAACTTTGCTTCTCCCAGATCTTTCACCTCAAAGCTCTCTTTCAAGATGGCTTTTGCTTCATTGACCACGTGAATATTTGTACCAAATATCAACATGTCATCTACATACAAACATATGATAGTGCAAGTGTTATTTTCTGACTTGCAGTAAATACACTTGTCACTTTCATTCACCTTAAAGCCATGTGAGATAACGAGAGTGTCAAACTTCTCATGCCACTGTTTTGGAGCCTGTTTCAAACCATATAATGATTTTTCTAACTTACAGACTTTCGAGGCATGTTCGGGGATAACAAACCCTTCTGGTTGTTCCATATAGATTTCTTCATCCAGATCATCGTTCAAAAAAGCAGTCTTAACATCCATTTGGTGTACCACGAGATTGTTCAAGGCAACAAGAGCAATCATTACACGAATGGATGTTATTCTTGATATTGGTGAATAGGTATCGAAGAAATCTATATTCTCTCTCTGCCTGTAGCCCTTAACTACTAGGCGAGCTCGGAACCTTTCGATTGCACCATCATGTTTCCGTTTCGTTTTTAGAACCCATTTATTACCTAAGACTTTGCAGCCATGAGGTAAGTCTGTTAGATGCCAAGTCTTATTAGCTTCTAACGATTCCATTTCATCTATAACGGCCTCATTCCAAAAATCTGCATCTACGGAAGTTAATGCTTCCTGCAAACTTTTTGGATCTTCGAGGGTGAATACTGTAGTAAAGTCATCACCAAAATCTTTAGAAATTCTAGCTCTTTTACTTCTTCTGAGTTCATCCTCAGAACCAACACCCCCACTAGTTCCGTTATCTCTAATAGCGGGTAGTACATTACCCCCACTATTTCTCGTTTTAAATGGAAATCGTGTCTCAAAGAAATCAGCATCAATGGATTCTATTATAGTACGAGCATTCAAATCATAGAATCTATATGCCTTACTATTGGCCGCATAGCCAACGAAGACACATTCATATGCTCGACTAGCCAATTTAATCCTCTTAGGATCCGGAATTCTTACGTAGGCCAGACAGCCCCACGTTCTTAAATAGGACAGATTAGGTGGCTTATTCTTCAAGATCTCATAGGGTGATTCTTTTCTATTTGTTTTTGGAAGACGGTTTAGCACATAGCAAACTGTCAACAAAATATCACCCCACCAAGAAGAAGCAGCTCCAGAATTGAGCATAATAGCCACAACTAATTCTGTAAACGTCCTATTTTTCCGCTCAGCTTTACCATTCATTTCTGGTGAATATGGTGTCGTGGTTTCATGAATGATACCATGTGAGCTATAGAATTCCTTGAAGGGATTAGAGTCATACTCTGATCCTCTATCACTCCTAAGTCTTTTTATCTTTCGATTGCACTGATTTTCAAATTCAACCACAAATACCTTGAACATATCAAGGGCTTCACTTTTGTTTTTCATCAAATAAACAAAGCAATAATCAGAGCAATCATCTATGAAAGTGATAGAGTATCTCTTGCCAGACCTAGTTAACGTCCCATCTAGTTCACAAATATCAGAATGAATCAGATCTAAGGGTTCTGACTCTCTACTCACAGATTTATGGGGCGTTTTCGTTATTTTAGCTTGGCTACAGAAATCACATTTATCAAATTCATTCATTGAGAGTTTAGGGATATGTCCTAGCTTGCTTAAATTCTTCACAATTCGTGTGTTCACAAGACAAAGACGAGCATGCCAAACATTCAAATCACACACCATGTAAACTGAAGAATTCATCTTATTAATTTCGACATTCAACTTGAACATCCCATTACATGCATATCCCTTTCCCAAAAAACTCCCATTCTTAGTAAGGGTATACAAGTCTGCCCCAATAGTTTGATTAAACCCAGCCTTATTAAGAAGATATCCCGAAACAAGATTCTTCCTTATCTCTGGAGTGTGCAACACATCCTTGAGCACCATCTCTTCTCAGAGGTGAATTTCAGCTCCACTTCACCAGAACCAGCAACCATAGTGGTGTGAGTAGTCCCCAACAACACTTTCTTGTCAGCAGGTGCTTCTGTGTATGTTTTAAACATAGCACGATTGTTGCATACATGCTTCGATGCACCTGTATCTAGCCACCATCCTTCTGAGTCACCGCTGAGGTTAACTTCAGCGATCATGTCTGTGATCATGGCTATCAAATCCTCTTCTGTCAAGTTAACCCTGGCCGCAGCGGCAGGGTTTTGCTTGTTCCGGCAATTCTTTGCCATATGACCCGGTTTTCCACAGTTATAGCAGATAAACGGTGGGTCATTCTTAGAGGTTTGGGCCATGATCCTTTGGTTACCTCGAGAGGCACCATTCTGGTGGGGGCGGACCTGCTGGTTCTTACTCTTAAACCCTTTCTGGTTAGGTTTAAGAGCTCTAGGGGTGGGTCGTTTAGCAGTGACGAAAAAGGAAGGGGTTCTGAACAGGAAGAACACCCAAGATAGGAAGAAGACATTGGAGCAAAAGGAAGATCTAATTGATCTCCAACTGAAGAAGAATGAAAATTCTTATAAGGCAAAATGTTCTCATGAAAAACAACATCTCTACTAATAAATACATGTTTAGTTGTTATGTTTAGCAATTTATACCCTTTAATACAAAAAGTAGTCCTAGAAAACACATTGTTTGGCACGAGGACCAAATTTGTGTTTATGACCCTCAACAACTATGACATAAGCCAAACATCCAAACCTTCTAACACTCATGTAATTAGGAGGAATTTCATGCGATAACTCTAAAGGGGTTTTGTGATTAAGAAGTGGTGTGTGTTTTATTGATCAAGTAGGCACAACATGGAGAACAAAATCACTCCAATAAAATAATGGCAAACATGACTAAAATTTCAATGACTCGTTTCATGAACAATGATATGTGGCTAAAACGTTTGGAAAAGTAAATGGATTTGCCTAAGAAAATTCAGCTTTACAAGCCTCTTTCTAAGAAAGAGAGTGTTCTATCTGCCTAGGTTAGAATGGCCAATAGATTGACAGGCAAACACACAACACAATCTTTCATGAAAATACCTCCAAATTCACATTAAAACACATCCAGACATTAATCATTCAATCCATACAAACATTCACATAATTGTAGCTAGGGTTTACAAACACCCAAGTGAAAAAAGGGACTACTGCATACTAGGAAAAGGGAGAACACAAGGGAGAAGAAGGAAAACCATCATGGAGATGCTAGTATTGCTACTTGTGTTGAAGAGATCCTCCTTTGGGGGAGGAATTCCCAAGTCCTTGCTTAAAGATGAAATCCTAGCTTCTTCTCCTCTTTGGTTCGTCACTTTCTCACTCTAGAAATCTGAAGAAGAAGAAGAAGAAGAAGAAGAAGAAGAAGTTTCTCACACTAGGTCTCTCCCCTTTTCTCCTTCAGCTCAAACCTCCTTATATAACCATACCAGGCTCAAATCACGGTCTCAGTTCACGGGCGTGAACTGAAAGCACGGACCGTGATCTCAATTCAAAATGAGCCGCATCACTAAGTTTAATTCACGGGCAACGACACCTGACTTGAGTTTAGTGAGACTAAAAACTGCTCTGGACGCCTGACGGTTCACGACTAGCGGCTCCAATTCACGGTCTTAGTGACCCTAAACTTCACAGCTCCCACCGTGATATGTTGCTTCCTCCATCCTTTGGCTTGATTTTTTGCCCTTTCGTCCAACTTTCGACTCTCTGGTTGGTTCCGCCTACCACAGTCTGAAAAACACCAAAACGAGGTAAAATCCAGAGTAAAACCAAACCTCCCAGAGTAAAAATGTCTCAAACAACTAAGGAAGCCGGGGGTAAAAAGGGTACAATTAAGCCCAAATCACCCACCGGCCGAGCGGTTTACGATTTTGGGCTTTGATAGCCGTGAAACCGAAATTGTGATAGTCGGTCAGTTTTAACAGGTAAAGAAGACGAAGGGGGAGGATACGGCACGAAAAAGAAGACGAAGGGGGAGGAGCGGGGTCGCTGGAGGGAGCTGAGGATCCGAGTTGCGGGGGAGAGCGGAGGGCCTGCCTCTGTACCGTGTGATCGAGGAAGAAGAGTAAGGGGGCGAGCGGCTGGTCGGGGTCGCGGAGAAGCAGGAATTCCTGGTCGGTGAGTGGAGATGTTGAGGTCGTCGTGGAGGGTCGGAAGGGAAGAGTTGATGGATGGAGGAGGGTGGAGGATGGATGGACGAGTGATGATTTCGGGTTAGGTTTTGTTTTTGTTTGGGGATTTAGTGTCTTTTTGGCAATAATTGGGCGGAGGTCGGTTAGCAGGCTCCGGTTACTCGGCTACCCGAACAGCCCCTCTCCCTTGCTGACCACCGACCGAGGCATGCTAGCTATCGGTCTTCGGCCGCTAATCGGTGGTTAGCGCTTAAACCTACCGGGTAGCCGGCAGTTAGCGATAAACCAACCGGTTAGCTGCTAACTGGTGGTTAGCGGTTAAACCGACCGGTTAGTCGCTAACTGAAAATTGATTAGCCACCATTAACTATGATCATCAACCGCAATAAAAAAATAAGAAAAAACCATCTCTTGAAATTGTATTAAGGGGCCCTAAATATCAACATGAAAAAATGCAAAGGTTGAGTGTTAATAGCAGGAAATGACAATCTCTGTTGTTTTTCCAAATGGCAAACATCACAATGTTTTGTTAAAAGGCAAAACAACCTTAGTACAATTGTGCTTAACATCTCTCATTGTAGACAAAGATGGATCAGATGACCTAATATGGCATTTAGGAGTGTGCAATAGTTTGATCCTTACCCGACCGCACCGCACCGGACCAGACCAAACTAAATTGAATATAATGTGATATGGTTATTGATCCCACAATTTTATAAAGGGTAAAAGTCACATTTGATCACTAGGATTACAAAATCGTGTCATGTTTAGTCACCATAAATAATTAATATCACTTTTGGTCACTCGAATTACTAAAACATATCACATTTAGTCACTCTCCGTTAGTCTCCACCCAACTCCGTTACCGGAGTCTGTTATGTTCTGACGTAGCTAACGTGAGCGCGTAGTCAATGTTGTTTTAGGCTGAAAATGGTCAAACCCGACCCGCCACATCATACACCCAACCCGACCCAGAAACAAACCGGAGCCCACTTGACCAAACAAAATTGCAAAATAGATTCGGTTTGGAGCCATTTTCATACACGAATGAACCCTAATTGTCCAAGGTATTGGAGCGGTGCGAATTTAGGGTTTGGTCCACCCGTCTTGCAAAACGATATTGAGCTTTTCGTCTTCCCTTGGAAGACTCTCCCAACACGGTTAGCGGCGGGATAGTACCGGTACGCATGTCTAAATCGAAAGCTCTGCCATCGATCGATTGCATGTGTTTTTTCACCGTCTGTCGAGGAGGTTGCTGCATCTTGTCGCTTCGTTCAGTGTCCCTAGACGGGAAAGAATATCCACGGTCAGTTTATCCGGCAGCTTTGGCCATGAATCATCACCCTCTGCCTCCGACGAAGACATTATGATTGCTTCCATGCCGTCGGGAGGATTTCCGTGGCTTCTTATCATGTTAAATTCGGCCGACATCCCAATATAAACACGAATGAACCCTAATTTGGACGAATTTTGCAGAAAAGGGAAGAGGAAGAGTCTAGGGAAGAACGGGATGGATCGGGAAAAATGACCCCTCTGTTTCTCCATTTTTAATTTTATTGGGTTGGTTCATGGGTAGGGTTGGGTGTATGACATGGCGAGTTTAGTGACGTGGCAGGTCGGGTTTGATTATTTTCGGCCCAAAATGGTGTTGATTAGGCGTTCCCGTTAGCCACGTTAGCACATAATAGACTCCATTAATGGAGTTGAATGGAAACTAACGGGAGAGAGACTGAATGTGACATGTTTCAGTAATTTGAGTGATCAAAATTAATATTAATTTTTTCTAATAACTAAACATGATACGATTTATTAATCCTAGTGACTAAATGTGGTATTTAACCATTTTATAAATACAAAAAGGCAGAATTAACATTTGGATCGAAACAAATGAACAAAACTAAACCGAATACGATATTGATGCGGTCCTTAATTCGTTGCAGACGCCTAAATTGGTATCCATTATCCAATTATCCATCCCTAAGTAAGGCTGCAAATGAGCCGAGCTACTCGCGAGCAACTCGAGGCTCGAATCGGGAAAAACTCGTTCGAAACTCGACTCGTTTACTAACGAGCCAAGCTTGAGCTTAGCTATGTTCAGCTCGCGAACTAGCTCGACTCGGTGTCTTGTTGAGCTCAACTCGTGAGTTGGCTCATTTAGAGCTCATGAGATGTCTCAACATTGTGGTTTGAGGGCCAACTTGATCACCGACTTATGGACGAATCGATCTAATTTGGACTTTCATAATTCATAGGATTGTTAAATTATATATCTCACATCATGTGAAGTTTAACATGTTGAACATGTATGAAAATATGACTTATTTTTAATTCTATAAAGAAATTATGTACAAAATTGTTTCAATACTATGACATAACATGAACTAGTTAAAATTTATTAACTAAATAATATGACACGTACAAATTATAATATAAGATTAATTAATGTTGAATATTTGATTATTTTTTTGTCGTTACATCAATCACATGTACCATACACGACATACAAAATGAATGTATCAAATACGATATAAGAATTTAGTAAACAAGCCTAGCTCAAACTCGACTCGACACGGCTCGTTAATAAATGGCTCGAGCTCAGCTCATTTGTTAACGAGTCAAGCTCAAACTGGGATAAAATTTGGCTCAGCTCGGTTCATTTGCAGCCCTATCCTAAGAGAACTTCGGTGGCCCAAGGTTGCAAGGTTAGTTAATTTAAGGTATTGAACTGAATTTGTCCCAGAAAGCAAAAAAGTGAAAAACAATCCCAGCGCCCAGCGGGCAGCGGCTGTCCTCTAAAATCTAAAACCAGGCCGCCTGTTCGCGCGAGAGAGGAGGGAGACGGGGAGGGAGAAATGAGAAATCAATTTATTGACTAATTGTCATTGAGAGGATGGGGAGGAGCGTATCTCGGTCGCCGTCGTACCGGAGGAGACACTCGCCGTCCCCGGACCATCGACGTAGCAGTCGAAGAAGCAAAAGGGGCAGAACCAGTCGTTCTCCTCGTTCCAGGTAGGTCTTTCTTCCATTCCTCCTCCTAGTTGCTACTTCTCGCTCTGGTTTGGCCTCGAGCTGGAGCTTTTGCACTTCGTCTTTGGCTTCTTCGATTCTCCCAATCTTTGTTTAATTTGTATGATTATCTTTAGGAGTAAGCTGGTTTTCAGTTCTGCAAGAAGTAATTAGGCATTCGAAATTTTCTTAGTAGGGTAGCAAGCTTCTGCTGCTGCAAGTTCCAGTTAGCTTGAATGGTTAGTTCTGTCTAGGTTCTTTCTTCGAACTGTTGGTGATTGATTTGGAATTTGTCTGTGAACTAACTTTTCTTCTGAGGAGACCTCTGTGAACTAACTAAATGGCGCATTGCGTTGTTAACCCTATGCAAAATGCAGGCGCAGAAGCCCTTCGGACTCCCCAAAAAGACGCAGAAGCCGCTCACCAAGTCGCAAACGCCATAAAAGTCGATCTCCTACACAAAGGAGGCGTAGAAGACATCGTAGTAGGAGTGAATCGTCTTCTCCTTCCAAGTCTTCTTCCTCGAGTTATGAACGCAGCATCATTGCCAAGGAAAAACTGAAGAAAGAAGAGCTGGAAAAGAAGAGGTACTTACATCCTGACTGCTGCAAGCATTCTTGTATCCTGAATTTGGCCACTTCTGTCTATGAATGGTTAGGTAGAATGGTTTCGATGTTGTGGTATATACATGTTTATTCCAATTTCGATATTCTTTTGAGGTTGGTTTGCTGCTGATAAGGAAAAAGTTCCTTCTTTTCTCCTTTATATAGGGTTTAGAGTAATGTTCCTGATATGGTTTTCTCATTACAGTATTTAGGTGCATTCAGCACACTTTGTTTGGCAACATAGGATGTTTGCCTCAGAAGTACAATTCTCACAGACAAAGCTCCTAATCACTTGATAGTCCAGATAAATTACACCTTTCATGTTGGTTGTCACAATCTGTTGTAGATTTCCAACACTCACAAGTTGTTTAGCCATTAGACACTTGAGGGAACAATCGTAGTCATCGTGAGTTCATGACAGATTTTTGCTGGAACTTTTTGCAAGATTCCAAACATGGGTCAGCTGGATGTTGATTGAGCTCAGAATTTTGTAGCAAAGGTTAAGTATAGTATTGGAGTGGTGGGACAGAAATCACTGAGTGGTTCACCCTATGATTTGACCGTAGGATACAGAGCTCAAATGGTTGTGAATTCCTTCATCACCTTAAATATGCTAATTATATTCTTTGTGGTCTTGTTAGGAGCACTGTTTCGAATTGCTTGCTTATTTTTCAATTGGAGAGCCGGACGACCTTGTCTGTCTGGAGACCAATGCATGACTTGCCCTTTGCTTTTGAATGAATCCACTGTATGATGCATTTAAAGAATTCACGCTTCAGGCATTTAAATAGCTTTCATAACTCTGCTACAACGACTGTTATCCTGTCCAATCAGGCGTGAACAAGAGGCAGAACTGAAGCGGCTGGAGGAAGAGACAGCGAGAAGAATAGAGGAGACGGTGCGGAAAAATGTAGAGGAAAATCTGAACTCAGAGGAAGTGAAGCTAGAGATAGAGAGGAGGATAGAAGAAGGTAAGAAGAAGCTATTCGACGGTGTTGTTGCCCAACTGGAAAAGGAAAAACAAGCTGCTCTTGCTGAAGCCAGACATAAAGAGGTATGTAAGGCAACAATTCTGTGAAACTATGGCAGGAGTGAGACTTGAAGATGGGTTTCTCTTTCATAACTCAATTAGTAAACTGTTTCTTCTCTGTCAATAGGAACAAGCTCGGAGAGAGAGGGAAGAGCTTGACAAGATGCTGGAAGAGAACAAGAGGAGGGTGGAGGAAGCACAGAGAAGAGAAGCTCTAGAGCAGCAAAAGAAGGACGAGGAACGGTTCAGGGAGTTGCAGCTGTTGCAGCGGCAGAAGGAAGAGGCAATGCATAGGAAGAAGCTCGAAGAGGAAGAAGAGCGCGCGAAGGCACATTCGCTGTTGGGCAATCATCATCATAACAATAATAGAGATCAGAAACCTCGTCAGTCTTTGGGATTTGGTTCATGACTAGTTCGTTTTGACTTCATTGCTGAATCACAAGCACAATTGTTCTGCAGAAAATGTGATCCATGGGCCCATTGGAAACAAAGGGGGAAATGGTAGATGTGTATCCCGCCACCTACCTTTGGTTTTTAGGGAAGGATCCAGTTAGACCACCAAACTTCAGGAAACTGTGTAATATTATGATTATTGTTTTCAGTGGAAGCAAGAAATCAAATGGGAAACATGGGTATGATTATTATTATGTGTTCATTATTTAACGCCATCATAGAGGTGAAGTATACAAGTAGCTCGAAAAGTCCCATCATTCTTTTGAAATTTTTGAGCCCAAGCAAGCAAAGCAAGAAGTGTGTAGCTTTTCTTTTATCACTTACCCACCAATCATGGTTGCTTGTTGCCCAAGACCAAGTTGTCAATCAAAACAATGGGAGCATTTAAGGTGTACAAGCAAGAAATGTATTGGAATGGTAGGAAATTTATGATAAATTTGGGTTTGATAAGTTAGGCGGATGGATTACGATTTTCAATCAATTCATTTCTAAAATTGTTTGCTTTTTTTGGGAAAATTGTTTCTTCTTGTGGTTTGGGGTAATAATATACATTATCTATACTAATTTGATTATTACTATTATGAGACAATCCAAGTACCACATCGGAAATATAAGAGAAGGAACCCTTGTATAATGTCCATATGCCCAATTAGTACGAGGCCTTTTTGGGGAGGATACGTGGATCTCTCGTTGAACCACCAAACCAGACACATATCTCAAATCCCGAGATCACCAAATGAGGGTTCCACCAAACTGACGTCCGCCGCCCTGGACCCGAACCAGACTCTGATACCACTTGTCGAAATCGGGGGCACTCAATTAGTACGATATTGTCTGCTTTGGGCCAAGCCCGCACGGTTTTACTCTTGAGTGTCCTCCCCAAAAGGCCTCGTACTAATTGGGCTAGGTGAACTATAATATACAAGGGTTTCTTTTCTTTTATTTCCGATGTGGTACTTGAATTTTCTCATACCAATTACACTTTTTTTGGTTGAGATTATCATACCATTGATATATAACTAGTAAAATCAAGTGGCACCTCAACTACAAAATCCATTTTTAAATATCAGCTTCTGAGTATTAGTTTGGTCGCATATTGCACTACTATCACATACCTACTCACACATGAGAACAGTGTCTGCCGATCCATCAATAATGACCACTAGGGATGGTTAGGGGTAGGTTGGCAACGGTCCGGATCGGGGCCGAGGAGGGCCTATCCGTCGCCTACCCAAAAGCCTTTCAGGCTTTCCTTGAATTCGCTTTACTAGCCTTGTCGGGCTCATATTCAGACCCAACTCCAGATCCATCGGTTGTCGGGCTACAAACCAGGTTAACGGTTTTACCCGCTAACACTCTCAGCCTGGAAAAAACCAAAAAAAAAAAAAAAAATACAAAGAATGCAACCTGCAAATTACTAAGGAAAAAAAATCAAAAGACATGACTCCAATTCCAATTTCCAAAATTCAAACGGTCTAAACAAATAAAAAAGGATCAAGGCATCCAAATGATGCATACCACCAATCGAAACAAACAAGTTCTCAAAATTCAATCCAAGGCTTTGAAACAAAGTAGCAAACCACCAGTCCACCAAAAATAGGGGGGAGGCGGGGAACTTAAAGGAAATGAGCAGAATCATCAAGGCATCAAGTGATCTTCATTGTTCAGGGCATCACCATTCAACAACAGCAACTCTCCAGCAGGCAGCAACAGCCACATGCTTGATATTCAAACATCAAAGTCCAAGAGTGCATGATCTTGAAAATCTGTGAAATCATACAAATTATCATCAGGAAACAGTAGTCACTATCTTGAAATTACTCAGCTAATTGTTCCGTATTCACTAACCTCCTTTCTTAAAGTCTTCACAACTTGGATCCTCCATTGTCAACGTAGAGAAGCAGCTTTCCAATCCGTTAATCCCATCCTTTCCAGCATCTGCAGACAAAAGAAAGGAGAGTTGATTAGTTAATTTCACAATGTAGTTGAACCACAAACAAAGTTGGAAACAATTAAATAAAGCCTTTACCTTTGCTAATATCATCCTTAATCCAGGTACGGGTGCACATGATTGCCTAAACAGTTTCAAAGTACAGCCTACTGCAGTGAGGATCTAGTAGCCTACCACCAGAGCTTAAGGGTGACTCTGAGGCCACAGAGGTCACTAGTACAACAAGCAAATCTCTTGCTACCTCTTGCAACAGAGGGTATTTTCCAGCATTCACTCTCCACCAATCCAAAACACCAACATTAGGAGATCGAGGACTGACACCCTTACTCAGATAATGGTACAATTCAGAGCACTGTGAAGTTTGTTTTTGGACCTTTTCCTTCGCTTAGATAAAGCTCAAAGCCAAGGTCGCTCGAGGTAGGAGCAAAGACCATTACCAGAACCAGAGGAGGCAGAAAGGTCATCCCTAGCCCTCTGTTTCAACTGATACTCACGGACCACATTATAAATAGTGGCCTTAACAGTCTCAGGCTCAAGAGTATAATCAAGGTTTCGAAACTTTTCATAATAGTGCTCAATCAACTCAAGCTTGTATGCAGGATCAAGAACAACAACCACAGTAAACAACACATGAATATCAATCCAGTAAGCAACACATGAATATCAATCCAGTATTTGCTGAACTTGATCCACATTTTTCCAGTCATGGCACAAATGATCTCATCAGGACCAAATCTCCACTCATTTAGTCCGAATTTCAAATCACATATCTATGGAAAGAACAAATTAGCAATAGGATAATTGCTTCCAGAAAACATATAAGAAAGTTTTTGGTTTAATACACTTGTATATCCAAAACTTTCACGGTTGTGCCAATAATATCCAAATTTCCCAAAATACCACTTATATCCATGTTTTAAAGTTGTTCTTTGCCAAATCTATCCATTTCCCAATATATTTTTGGTTAAATACACTTGTATATCCAAAAACACCGTTAAAGAATGTGAAGGAATTGGATATAAGTGGTATTTAGGGAAATTTGGATATTATTGGCACAACCGTGAAAGTTTTGGATATACAAGTGTATTTAACCAAAGTTTTTTGAAACCACAAGCTTTTTGGAAATGACAGTGGCAAACTTCCAATCGTCACTGCTAGGCAAGGAAGTATAGTTAGGTTCTCTCTGACTCAAATCAGTGAGCACATCCTTGTATGGAATTATAGATGTAAGCATAGTGAGTGTGGAATTCCACCTATTAGGGCAGTCTAGTGCAAGTTTGGTAGAAATACCAACATCTTTTTGCTTAGCAGTCTCATCGAAAAACTCACCTCTCCTTGGAGTTGCAGTCCAATATACCACACTTTCCCTAATCTTTTCAATCCCATCTTTGATAATTTCAAGCCCATCTTTCAAAATTAAGTTAGGAATATGAGCAGAGCATTTCATTTGCAGCAATGAACCATTCATTAGGAAGTCAGAAATAATCATCTTTCTCTTAATCTTATCAATCAAGGCATCATTTGTAGAACAATTGACAAGAGCGATAATGGATAACTTACAATCCACATTCCAGGACATGAAGGCCTCTCGAAGTACACATGCTAGTTTCTCATTAGTATGAGGGGCAGGAACATAGAGAAACTTGTGATACACAACATCAAACAAGAGGCATACCAAAATAATTAGTTAGTGGTTAAACAAATAAGCAACGGAAATGAAAGTACAAAATTGTAAGAGTCAAACATCCATATACCTTAGCAAGTGGCTCCTAAGGTTCCACTGATTGTCAACATAATGATAAGTTACAGCCATGTAAGCCCTCTTTTGATTACCTTTTGTCCACCTGTCAGTGGTGACAGCAATTCGACCTTTGTTACCATCAATCATCTTTTGCATCTTTTTTCCTCTCAATCGCATACATTGACAGAATATCACTTTTACAAGTGTTTCTACAAGGAACTTTGAACACGGGTTGCATAGAATTACAGAAGATTTTGAAGTACAAGTGACCCACCATACCAAGTGGATACTCATGCATCAAACTCATAGTGACAAGTTCCTTTCTAGAAACCTCTGCATTAAACTGACCAGTACAGATTTCGTTCCTCCCAAGAACACCATTAGGAAGGAAATTAATTGCAATACTTTTCTGATGGCCATCGTGAATTTATTTTTGAACACACGCCTTATTATGATTCCTCAAATGAGAGGTACCATTGCTAGTATCACCACAAAGAACCTTACGACAATACTTGCACCGAGCTTTCATCACACCAGCCTTATCCAAAAACCTAGTAAAGTGAGGCAAAACATCACTTTTTAGTGGACGTTTGGCCCCAAATGGAAGCAGAGAAGGCTCACCATCATTAACTGGTGCATCACCAGCAGCTGCAGCAACATTGCCATCATTCAAAGCACCTGCTGTTGCATCACCAAAAATCAAAGGTTGCTGCTTCTGGGGTTCAGGGTTCATCGGTGGGGGGGGGGGGGGGGGGGTGGATTGAGTGTTGAGAGAGTTACTGAATTCAAAACCTTCCATTGCCTCACATGTTCATCAATCACAAAAAAGCAAACCAATCAAGGCTACATCAACTGAAACTAAGAACTAATACTAATAAGACTCCAGACTGTAGAATCGAGTAAATTACCTTCGTGAATCGTGAATGATCAATGAACACTTCAAAAGTGCAGTCAATAACCTTGAAACCCTATAGAAATCACGAAACAGGAGATGTGTTACACATGCGACAAGCACTCAAAATTTCGCAAATCTACATACTAAAGGCTACAAGAAGACTTACGGCTTATGCAGTTGTGCTCCTTGTAGTTGCAGTGACTGGAAACAGGGCTTGCATGCAACTACAAGCTTACTACTTCCCTCGAGAGTGGTTTGAGTTCTGGAAATCTAAGAGGAAAATTACCAAAAACAATCAATTATAGTATTTATAAACGCAAACATGAAGAAGAAGAAGAAGAAGGAGAAGAATAAGATGATGACGAAGAG